CAAAACTACTTCATAATTACTTATTACACACTGGCGTATATGGCTCTGAAAAAATTTACAGCTAACTCCTTCCTTGAAAAGATGACAGTGCAACCCCTGTTAGAACTGCTCATTAAAGAAACATCTATTCTAGAAATGAAATGCCAACAGAAAAATGAGGAAAGAAACAGATGAGAAAGATGGAAATAGATGGCCTCAACCTTTAACCCTGTGTCAGGAATTTATTCTGCCTTTGAAAACATTTGGTTTAGTCTTCTGACTCAGATTTTACAAGGGCTTTCACAGTCCTTCAGTAGAACACCTGTTGGTTAATCCCTTGTTATAATCTACCTTGGATCACGTCATGGGGAGAAGAGCTGATGGATATGCTCCCAGCCCTCTGTGGCAGGATGAATCACTCTTTGGACTCTGAGCAGGACAGACTGGGGCTCAGGACAGTGGTGACACAAGCTGGCACAAGACCAAAGGACCTCTTCCCCAAATCTAAAGCAGACCAGAGGAGCTGTGCTCCCTCCCTGCACCTCCCTTAAGAACAGATTATATGTTTCTATTTCCTATACACACAGCCAATTTACTTTTTTCTTTTCAGATTTCCCTTTAGCAACACATAGCAAAAAAAAACCAAAAACCCATGCAATGTTTTGCCAGGACCAGGCCAAAAGCTCCAGGTAAGCCTCAGCGGCCTGATTCTACAGCAGCAAGATTTACTTCAATGTAATAACAATGTTTAAAATGTGGTGAAACTGTGCATTTCCACCACCTAAACCACCACAGGCATTCTGCACTTTCGTGGCATTTGGTCTTTTTTCTCTCTCTGTTTTTAAAAATAATGCAAGTATAAGTTCATAAGGAAACTAAGAGCTGCCTTTATATTTCTTCTCAGAAAGGATAGAGGACATAATTTTCATGAAATCAAGCTAAGGTACACCATACAGCTATAGTGATGTAGAGGCAGAAATACACACCAATTGGAATTCAGAGTTTGATCTTTCTCCCTCCACTTTATTTCTTCTGTTTTCCCCTCTCCCTTCAGTTTAAAATAACATTTAAATACTACTTTTTGTTGTCAAAGAGCACCTCATGTTGCCAACACAAATATTTCAGAACAAAGCCCAACCCTGTATTACTGTAAAGTAACAGTAAGGAGGTAACACATAGGTGTGCATAGACCATAACATCTTCAATTCCCTCCATATGTACCCTATCCCACAATTATCCCTCAAAATACTTGTGACAAACATGAAAAATCCTGTTTCCTTACATCCATCCATCCAAGGCAAAACCTTATTCTAATGTTGTGGCTTGGAAAGTTTGTAGCACCATATCCAACATCCTTGTTCACTTTGCAGGCTGCAAACACCACCATTTGTGGAGAGCTTCTTAATGAGGTGCTCTTCCAGAAAATCTACTAAAGAAAGCAGCATTTCCCCCCCCCCAATCCCCTTTTCTGGAGGTACCTTGGACATAATAAGACAGTAATTAAGGGGAAACTAGATATGTAAATGGTGATCTAGTGGTATAACAGGAAAATCTGACGCACTATAGCCTAAAATAGCACTTTGTACGCTCTGAACTATAGATTTGTCTATAGATTTTTTTCATCCCTTTTTGCAATTTTTTTCCCAAGCAGATAGCAAAATTGTTTTAAAAAGGAGAAAGAGACAAAAATGTAAGAAAACCCCTGAAAATCAAACTGGTCTGGCTTATGTTTGTGTACTACTAAACAGCTGTTAATGATGTCTTGGAGCTTGATACTCCAATAACTCCCTAATGCCACGGGAGGGATGTAAATCCTCAGTCCTCCTCCCAAAAGAATTTTATTTGGGAAACTTCATGCTCTAGGTATAAACGAAAACACTTATTGCAATGGAAGAGAGTAACCCAGAGATCCATGGGGATATAAACCTTCACAACCTTTGCTTTCTTAGACTGATTAGCAGTTCTTAAGCTTATTAAAGGTGACAGGGATCTCTTAGGAAAATATATTAGGGATTTGGGATCTCATAGGGAATTTTTTTTTCTCAGCGTGCCTGTGGGCAGACTCTTACTTGTTTTTTAGTCCTTACAAATATTTAGCATTGGTTGCTTCCTATGTCATTTTTCAAAGATTAAATCCCTCATTTGAATCAAACTTCTAAATCAAAGATCCTTTGTGAGTGGATTTGTTGCCAGCACTCTCTAAACACATGAAAATCAAAGTTTTGCCTGCTGGCACTGTGCAGCAGCCAAATGGCCTTCTCAAGGCTGTAACTTGTTCAAACTGAAATATCCACAGCGTGATGGGTGGAGAAGGAGCACCAGGAAATTGTTTGGGTAGGAGGGAAGACTTTTCCTCTATCCAACACTCTTCCCATGGAAAGCAATCTGCCCTTTGCCAAGACCTCAGGAAAAGCCTTGCTCGCTTGTTTCTTCCCAGCTCTCTTTTTATGGGAGTAAAAGAGTGCTCTGCAGTGATGAAAACAAGAATGGACTGCTCCCCACAGAAGTGTGAACACTCTGTCCTGATGATGAGAGCGCAGGTGAGCAATTTACACACCTACAGGAGCCTGGAGCAGAACTCCATCCGGATTCTCAAACTGGATATACTCAGCCAACCTCTAGCAAATTTCTGTACTTCAATTTGTAGGAGAAATTGCATCATCAGCCAGGGGTTTCTGAAGGGAAATAATTTATTTGTATGGATCCAAGATGAGGAAACAGCAAGCGTGTTCCTTCCATACTGCTTTACTGGGACAGTCCAGTGTCACGTGCACAGCACAGATACCCTAATCAGCTTGGCCACCAGGAATGAGGCTGACCCACTTTTTCATCTGGACACTGCCTTTATCTAAAGGAATATGCATGGATAAAGGGGAAAACCCCAACAAAACTAAAAAGATTAAAGCATAGTTTTGTGAGGTTTCTGCGTACTTTACATTGCAAACACGTCACCACCCACAGTGTAATTTTAGCAATGCAACAGCTATCAAACATTCTTGAAAACACTGACACCTAAAGCCAAATGCAAGGCTGCCTGTTTAGGTATTACCCTCATGCAGTGCATCTGAAAGTCTGGAAAGAAGGGAAGTACTACTTTAACTGAGAATAAAAAAACATATTTTAAAATGTAAACAGTACAATCAAGTAAAGGCTGTATTCTCTCCCCCCACTCCAAAAAAAAAGAACCCAAAAAAACAAAAAGCAGCTTCAGAAAACCAGAGCATTTTAGCCCAAACACATTTTAATTTATTTCCAACAGTGAAAACAGCAAACAATTACAGAAAAAGCAGCTGCTGCAGTGTATAATGTTTCAGCAATGCCACAGCTACCTTCAAGAAAAGCACTGAAAACTTCACATAAACTCACTATTCCTATCAGAGATCCTTTCCAACTTTCTCTGCTGGCTTCAGGGAACCATATTTCTCACCTGCTGAGACTTTTCTATTAACTAGGCCAATTCTAAAGTAAAGTGAACTATTACTCCTTGTACCTCCCACTTACTGGTAATTTCCATATACTTACATCATATCTGGCTTGATTTTCTAAAATAAATGTATCAAACAAAACCAAATGTAAACAAAAGTATGTATATCAAACAAAAATATATCTCTGGAAAAGGTCAAGATTTAAACCAATGAATCAAGGACTAAAATGCAAAGCTTGCCTCCAAGTTCAAAAGGGTGACCAAAACTGAGAACTGAGGCAAAGCTTTATCTGAAACCAGATTTCTATTCAGCCAATTCTAGTGCTCGTGGAAATGGCATTTGCATGCTCTTCTGCAAAATGGAAATGCAGTTCAAGTAGAAGGGAATACAGCACGCAAATTGAACTAGATTTTACCTTCTGAAGCCTATTTCAGATGTACAATCATAAAAAAAAATTAATAAGAGGTCCTTAAAATAGAAGGAACAAGCCTAAATATTCCTGCCATCATTTCTCCTCTCCTGAATCTGAATTATCTAATTAGTCAAAGCTCAAGTTATCTTATCTATAAATCACTATATGTTATGACTTATATCATACTTCATTGTTACATGATAATGGCTGTTTTTTAATTTATTTATTGCTGTATAGCATAAAATCATTGAATAGATTGGGGTGGAAGGGACCTTAAAGATCATCTGGTTCCAATCCCCCCGGGACATGTTCCACTAGATCAAGTTGCTCAAAGTTCCATCCAGCCTGGCCTTCAACAGTTCAAGACATGGAGCATCCTCATGTTTCTTTAAAACTCCCTTATTTTAAAAACTTTAAATCATATAAGTAATCAAACCTGCAATCATTTATTGGATCTACATGTAAAAAAATCAGCATAGGTTATTGTCTAAGGAAAAAAAAAATCCCTTTGTAGTTTGCATGTTTTCTCAAATTTCTCAATTTTTTTTAAAATATTTAACTACTTGGTTTTTTCCTCCTTCAAATATCATGCTCACTTCCTTCACAATGCCAACCAAAAGCCAGTTAACTATTAGTGATGGATTACCTTATGATTGCAACAAAGCAAGGGACTTACAATAACCATTTCCTTCCAGTTCCTTCAGGCAATGTAAATTTGCATGTAAATTAATAAACTAAAATGGTGGAAACAAAACTCAAGGGAACTAAGATAATTTCCTGTTACTCCAGCAAGCTGGCTTGGCTTTTTTAATTTTTTTTGGCCAGTCTTGGACATCATGGCATCTTTCTTTCTTTCCCTCTGGATGGAAAATTTTGCCAGACCCCTATTTTTCCCCTGTTGAAATAACAGCAGCGTGTTTAAGAGTCACTGCAGAAGCGCAATCAGAGTTGCAGGTCTTAGCTCACAGGCTCTAAGGGTTATGCTAAGGGCTGCACAACAGTATCCCACTTCCCAGCACACCAGCATCCAGACACAGCCAAAGGCTTTGGGTCTCTGTTACTTAACACAGTATAAATATATTGGTGAGATAAAATGACTGACGAGACATCTGACAAGAAATATCGCTGTTTGAAATACCAATAATAGGGAAAAATGAATAAGTGACATCAAAGGTGTGTCTTACCATAAATTCCGGTTGAAATACAGGGAAAGGCCTGTAAAACATATGAAAGGAAAAAAAAAAGATCAGTGGGAATTCTGTTTACTTTTTATCAAAACCAAGAGTGTTTTTAAATGCCCGTTTTTCAACACCCAGAGATTATATGTTACAGCATTCATGGATACAGCAGTCAAATCACAGGCATTCTCATGTCATTATATGAAACATATTCCATATGTTTTCCTTGCTGCCACATTAATAAAACTTCATTCTTTTTCACATCTTGAGCTGCAAGCAACATTTGAACACAGACTCATTCTTAAAAGTGCCTTTTGAGCTAAAATTTGATGCTACGAGCTAAAAAAGAACACCATAAGCTACTACAGTAGCAAAAAAAAAAAAAAAAAAAAAAAAGTGATATCATCTGGGTAGAGTTAGACAATGTTTTTTCATCAGTAAAATAAGCTTGGCCTGCTTAGACTATGTTATGCCTCTTTGCCATGCCCTCATTCACTATAATCTCCTTTTTTTGATTCAGTTCTTGACATCAGTTCTTTTGGACATGGTTTATGGTGTGACCCAACACAGCAGCAAGCCAAAGGTTTGCAAACTGGTACAGGGAGAGGAACTGGAAGATGCTGGTGAAAAGAAAGAGTACATTTTTGGGGCTGCCTGGACACCAAAGAATATACATCATGCAACAAGAAATATTACAAACACTGTGCCAGGAAGAACAATAATTTACATTCCTGCTAGCTGTATGTGTTGTCTTGAGATTTGCATTTCTATGAGCCAGAGTCAGTTTTCCACCAGGAAAAAACAAAGCTGACGTTTCACGAGAAAGGCAATTTACTTTGTGTTCAGCTGATATGTGATATCGCCTTTGCCTCCCACCTCTGGACTGACAGCAGACACAGCTCAAAGGTATGAGAGCACCTGGGACCCAAAGTCTCAAATATCCACCCTGAGGCTCCCTCCAGATCCCCCAGCAATGAGTCATCATACAAAAGAAAGAAATTCTTCTTTACTTAATCACACAGGAAAACATTATTCAAAGCTAATGCTTGCTTTATATTTAACCAGGGAATTAATTAGGGAATGGTGATTAAGAAAGGTCTAATGGAAAGAATACATCCTCCCCTCCCCTCTGAAAATACTTAACTAAAATAAAGTGGAGGAGAATTATAGTCTCATTCCTTCTCATAGCCACTACAACTTACATCCTGAAAAGTACTTAGCTTTGTAGTTTGTACCCAATAAATCACAAGAATCAGCTCTTTAAAGAAATGAAGAATAGAGTAGAAAAAAGAAAAACCAACCACCACACGGTTACAGAGCTCAGGCTGAAGTGGCAACAGATACTTCAACAATCAGAGGGAAGCATAAAGGACAATTTTGTTCAGTTTAGAAAAATATCTTAAAATTCACCACTGTTGCAGTTTCCACATGTTAAGAGATAATTGCTCCAAACAAGTGTTTTGTTTTCTATTCTTTGCAGAATTTGAAAAACAGCATGGGCCTTAGACACTCATTTGCCTCAGAAAAGGAGTAACAGATTATTCATGGTTCCTTCTCTTACTGGCCCCACAACCAGGTAAGGGGAAAGAGTCCTGCAGCACCTGCAGAACTCCATCAATCCTGTGGCTCCTTGGGCAGCACCCCACATGGTGCCTTTGGGACACAGCTCCACTACTAACTTCAGACCCCACATGTGTGACAAAGCCACCCACCTGGGGGACCTTGGGCTGGAGTGGCTCTGCAGCCCTCTGGCAGCAAAGAGCAGCAGCTCCCCCCAGGTCACTGCAGGTTCCTCACTGCTGCAAAGCAAAGGGCATTGGGCTGACACGGCTCTGAGCAAGATCACAGATCTTTAAGGTTCTAAAAGACCTCTAAGACCAAGCCCAGCCCTTAAATGAACCTATTTAAAGCCATGACAGGGACCTTGAAGGGGTCTACAAGACTGGCTGCTGCACTGTGGGACAGGCTCAGCACACAGTGCCAACATCTGGCACCACAGCTGTGTATTGGGATGCTAGACCCAAGCACCTCAGGGCTCCAGGGGAACAAGCCTCCTTCTCATCTTTGCTTAGAGAGAGAAGAGGAGAACTGCATTTTCAGCTCTGCATGGCAGCCACTTGTCAAACTTGTTCATCTCCATTCACAGAACATGTTCTGAGGCTGCTCAGCAATCTCTGGCTGGCAATTTGTGTGTTCTGTGTGTTTCTGAACACTTTAAAAATTACTGTGTAGGCACAATCATTACCTTGCTTTCAGTTTCTGTCATGCAGCTGAAACAGATCTGGAATGGAGTTACAAGACTGTATAAAATCCCATCAAGTTCCTTTGGAATATGGGTCTGTGCCATAACTCAGATGAGCTCTGCCCTCTCCCTCATTCAGAGATGATCACAGCACATAACCAGCAGATGTAATTTCGTAAAATGTGACAGTGCTTTTATTCATTCAAGAAAGACCCATGCCTGAGATCACATATCAGCCGTGTTTCCTCTTGGCTCCTAGGGAGACAATTTAGTCTAGATGCCAGGTTGAAATTACTGGCAGAGCAGTAATGGAGAATTCACAGCATGGATATCAACATACTACAATATTTGGCTTATGGACAGAAGATTTTAAGGTTTCTAACCTTTTCTGTGCCTAATTAATAACAGCTTAATTATGTATCTGATTTCAATTAAAAAAATCCATTTCACAGTAGGTAACATTCATTCCTATTTCCACAATAAAAACATTTATCATCTTAATTTGTTGATGGTAACCACTATTTAATTATGAACTTTTAATTTATTTGCTACCAAAATAGCGTATTGCTTTATTTGGGGACTAACAAGAAATGCTACCCTGATAGCACTCAAAACAGACACAACTCTGAAGTTAAACATAAGTAATAAAGGCAGAAGCTTCCTACTACTACTGTGCTTTCGCAATCATCTAGAGAAAGAGGCCAAATTAAATCAGGTCTGTGAATACTGTAAGACTGAAATTGATTTAATTCCTGTAGGAGAGAAATGTGGGCTCTCAGCCTCTGGTTCTTTTTAATCCAATGTGTCTTTACCAAGGCTACAGCAGCAGCGCTAATTAGGATGAAATGTAATGCAGCTTTATGAGGAACATTTACAGCAGTCACCATGAGGAGGCCAAGTTGGACTCTAAGACATTTCAGTAAGGAGCACCTGGGTATTTAAATACTTAAGGGCTTATCTACATCAAGGGGTTCTAGTTCACACTGAGCTGCAATGTATTAATGGTTATACATTAGATGAATACAATTACTAAGTCTACATGACCAGATGCCTCCTACTGCAGCCACAGCTCTTAACTGCTTACACAGAGCAAGGACTTTCTCCAAATTAAGTGCTCAGCATTCTGAACTGGTCTCCCAGTGTCATTTCTGCCACAACCAAGCCATATGCAAGGTAAGCACTTTTCTTCCAGCACGTAACACAGCAGACAAAAATAACATCAAAGACAAACCCTTCTCTGATTTCACTGTATCATCTTATGAAGAGGATTAATTCTCCTGTTTGACAGACATTCCTTCATGAACCTTGCATTACTGTTCATCAGCCTAAGCTCCTAAAAAGCTTGTGCACCTTAGATGCTTTCCAAAATAACATGCTCTATGAAAACACTGAACTTCAAAAAACACAATAAAACTATAAACTTCAGGGACTGTTGTACACCTTTTGCTGCACAAACTATTGACATAGGTACATACTATTCACCTATGTGAACTATTCACATAGTTCACATAAGTATCTATACACATATTTAAGATCAGTAACATCAAATACTCAAGTCAAGTTTTGCTGTTGTTACTAGGTCAAACTTATAAACCAAATGATTTTATAAACCACTAACTATAATACTATCCTTTTGCCTTTTAAAAATCCTTCTACTACTATATGGAAGAAAAATAAATTAAAATCTTATGCTATTTTTCAGCCTCTCTCCTGAAATTATTTCTCTTTTGGTTGTAATTCTGAACCATAATTTAGCAAACAACAGATTTTGGAAGCAACTATCATTCAAAGAAAATTCTCTATTCATAAATAGAGAATTCCAACATAACTCCCTGTCCTGAAAGTGAAGGAAAAAAAAAGGAATAATTGAATATGATAATATTTAAGCTGAGTTTTCATTACAGACAATACTATAATGTTTGTTATGTCTTTAAAAATAAAAAAGCAATTATCAGCTCAAAAATAACCAGTGTCTTGAACACAGCATGTCACATGCAAGCCTTCAGGCATTTGGACAAGCTCCCTCATTCACACACTGGAAGGTTCTCTTCGCCAGAGTCAAACACTGGGCACCCAAGTGCCAAAAACACTGGAGAGAATTTTTTTGGTGGAAACGTAAACATTCAGCTATTTCAAAGCCTAAAAGATGACATATCAGGTTCTTAAAGGCTGCTGACAGATAACAAAGTGCTGGTCAAGCAACTACAGCTGAAGCTTGGATTCAGACCCAACGTGAAATATCCTTTCTGTATTGTGGTTTAAGACTCTTCCAAAGAGGAACAAGTTTAGAAAATTATACGCAGGAATAATCAAATTTAAGATAAAAATCCAGCAGCTGTGTGGCAAAAGAGTGTGTGGTGAACCTGTCACAAAGCTACTGACAACTGATTGAAGTACTACTATTCAGTTAAAAACTTGCAACAAGTGCATAGAGAAATTGAACACAACCCAGAAAACAAACATCTGTCAGGTTTCCAGAGGACCTCCACAAGTTTCCCCTCCATGCTGCTCCCACTACTTTAGGTAAGTATTTACCACAAAGGTTGAGGTCTTTAAGTTTGTTTGTTTACACAAGAGAGCAGTTACTGAGAGAGGCCACTTAAGAGGTTAAAATGGCAAAAAGAGTATCTTTAAAATCTTCTGACCAAACTAAACAGATCAGGTGGCTGCAGGGGAGGATCATCCTTTGATGACCTGTTTGCTGTGTGACAATATTCTTATTGTTAAATTATGTGTCTCAGTTCACACAATGAATGACAATTTTTTTTTTTTTACTGAAGTAATCAAAAACTTCA